CTTAGCCTCATATACTAGTACCACCCTTCTACACTGGCTGTATGATAAAGGCAATGCAAAAACTGACTAACACAGCCTTTAAATGATGACATAGGCATAATTTTACGTTTTAATTAGATTTTATATATATAGTGCTGAACCACAACATCCCCAAGACAACTGAAGTTATCATTACCCCTGCTTACATCATACAGTGACTCAATTGGCTTGAGTCAGTGTCATCATAAACTGTGTGAATGGCATATAGTAAAGGTTTCCTGTATGTCACAATTGTTGACACATTCAGACAGATAACATCCTAACGTCCTTCCTAACACCCTTTTCACACACACACACATAGAAAAAAAGAAACACACACACCACACCCGCTAATATCTGGCTTTTTCTTTGACTCTCCAGTTTTCACAAACATTTCTCCGCTCCAATTCCAATCAGCAGTGATGGAAAAATTATATTCTAGATGGGCAGACTAATCTTCGACTGCCTTTTAACATGATGCCATAAGGCGTGATGAAGCTGTCGCCTCCATCAGTACCACCTGTGATCCTTTGTCACTTCTGCCAAAAATCCCTGACTGTCTCCTTTCAAGCAGCACTCAGACATTGTTCCGTCGAGTTTGAAATATATAAAAACTAAACCACCGTGACACTGGCCTCCAGGCTGCTTTTCACTCTTTCCTAACTTTATTTTCCAGCACGTCAGTGACACCAAATGTGGCACACCTGAGAAAAAAACAAAAACATAAAATGCAAACTTATCTACTGGCAATGGGAAATGAGTGATAACATTGAATATACACATTAGGTATATTTTTATGTGCCATTGTAACATTTTTTTTAGCTTAAAAATGTTTCATAGGTTCTGTGCCAGTACAGGTACAGGTCAGTGAAGCAGGTTGAGCAGGTTGTCAATGCCAAAGGCTAGGGCAGGGGCCTGGGTTTGATTCTGCCCTGGGTGGCTTCCTCTATGTTGTTCTCATTTTTACTCTTCTCTTGAAAAAACAGAATTCCCTCATAGACACCTCAACTTTTTTAATTAATTTAATTCAAGTATTATTGAAAAAAAAGATATTAATTTAGAAACACGATATAATTTATAATTAATGTGTAATATGTGATTTTGAATTTAATTTATTATGTAATCTATTCGATTAATTTACACAATAATTTTAGTTGATAAAATAAGTTTGGTCAGCTAAGGGTTACAGCATGGCTCCACCAAGGTTATCGCATTTGCCTTACAGGCAGAAGAACCCTAGTTTGAGGATACACAAACTCGACCCAGTGAAAAGCTAGTGTTCTCCTAGTGCCAGCCCTAAAGCTGAAAAAATGGAACAGACGTATCAGGAAAGGTATCCAGGATAAAACCTGTGCCAAATCAAAGCAGACAGATCCATCCGCTGTGGGAACCCCTAGGGAATTTGGGAGCGGCTCAAAGTACCTTCACTTGAGGGTTAAGGGCAGGACATCCTCAATGAAAACTATTTCTTATAACATCTTTTGTCAAACTGCAGCACTTTAATGTAGAGAAGGAAAAGACTACTGTCATAAGATGAAGAGCTGGTCAACCGTGGTGTGAAGTGGGTGTTTTCGTGGGTAAATCATTTTTACCCACTAAAACACCATAAATTAGCATGAATGAGTATTCATTCTCCTCTGCTATTAAACGTGTGTGACTGCTCAGCAGTAAGATAAACTCACTTCAATAAAGTGCAAAGATAGCAGTTTGACTGGAGGCAATCATCAAACTGTGAAAACAGAAGTTGATAAAACACCAGTCTGAGTGTGGCTATAAATCAAATAAGGCGAGATGTCATAAACAATAGTTAGAGCGGAGTGTTGTAAAAGTCAATTCAGTAAAAAAGAACCCTGAAGACTACTGAATTCACAGGAGTAAAGACAAAACTGTGACTTTCCCCTCCAGTAAGGAACAAATTAAGTACACTGCTCAAAACATTAAAGAAACACTTTACCTCAGTAGGAAAAATAATGATATTGGATATCTATACTGATATATACTGGGTAATGTGTTAGAAATGATAGGATGCCACATTGTTTGATGAAAATAAAAATGATCAAACTAATAAGGGCTCAATTTAATGACAATCACACCAAAAAAAATCACTAGACAGATCAGTCCATGTGGCCAGAATATAATTGTAGCGATTCAAAATTGTACTCAATTTGGCCCCCATATGCTTGTATGCATGCCTAACATTGTCAGGGCATGCTCCTAATGAGGCAATGGATGCTGTACTGAGGAATCTCCTCCAAGATCCGGACTCACTGAGCTCCTGGAAAGTCTGAGGTGCAACCTGTTGGCGTCACATGGGCCGAAGCACAGTGTCCCGGAGGTGCTTCATTAAATTTAAGTCAGGTGAGCATCAGGGCCAGTTAGTGGTGTCAATGTCTTTATCCTCTGGGAGCTAGGCTACCTAATGGCAGTCAGGGTGCCGTTACCTAACCTGTAAAGGTGCTGGCCAAAGACCCAACACCAACCCAGCTTCAGGCCACCTTCACGAAGTTTGTTTCTGATTCACACCAGAAACAGGATGAACACAAAGCAGGTGATATTGGTCCTGCTAATGGGCTAGGGACCTGTCCAGTTCTCCGAGAGTAACTGTCTGTATCCTCCAGCTCTTCAGGCTGCACTGGGAAACACAGTAAACCATCTGGTAATGGCTTTTATCAATATGCCATCCTGGAGGAGTTGGACTACCCATGCAACCTCTGTAGAGTCGAGGTATCGCCTCATGCTACCAGTAGTGAAAATGAGCCTAGCCCAATGAAAAACAAATGAAAAAAACATTAGAAAAGATTAGTGAGGAAAATGTGTCAGTGGCCTCGAGCTTTAATGCCATTCCTGATTTGTTGCCCCTCTAGTGCACCTGTTTCATTATCACCAAGGCGGCTGAAGCAACCCCCTTTAGCTACTTAGCTGACTAGATTCTCCACGTCAAAGTATTCAATTCCCAGTTGTAAGCAGTATCTGCTTCACCAACAGATAAATGCCCTGTGATGTAAAAAAAAACAAAAAAAAACAGCAGGACAATTAGCAACAGCCACTGCTGTTCTCTTCTTCTCTAAGACAATTTCCAACAGCTGGAAGAAAAACAGTTTAATTCGCTAAATGGCCGTAAAGATTTTTTT